CCCCCCACGGGCCGCTGCCTCCCGGGCCCCCTCGGTCCCTGCCCTCGTCCGCGGCCAGCTGCGCCCCTGGTCCCGCGCCAGGGACTGAAGGATGGCTGGTCCCCGACGCAGCGATCGCGTGGAAACGCGCACGGCGCTCCACAGTTGGCACCCCCGCGGCCTCCGGAGCTCGGAGAAGGAGGAGCTGGCGTGGAAATAGGAGGAGCAGCTCGCCAAGCTCAGGGTCAGAAAGGGAACTCGCATTTATAGTCCCGGCGGCGAGCCAGGCGCTGTTAGGCACTTAAGGGGCATTGTTTTATTTAAACCTCACAAGGATCCCGAATTGGAATTGCTGTCATCTCCAAGGACGAGGACAGGGCGCAGGGAGCTGAGGCCGCCCGCCTGAGGGACCCCATCCCCCAAGGCCGAGCTGGGGTCCAAGCTCAGGTCTGCGGGATTCTCAGTGCTACCGGGTTTGCCGCTGGAGTCGAACGAGGGCGAGGCACTTGGCCTTTCCAGGCCCGGTTCCCTCGCCGGCATAACCAGGGCATGCTGCCCCTGAGCGCGTGTGAGGATTAAATGAGCAAATATGAGAGCACACCGCGTAAACTGTGAAGTGCCTTCACATGTCACTGAGCGCAGTTGATGCCGCGGGCGTTGGCTGTTGGGCAGTACCCATAGGAATAAGGGCCAGCCCGTCCTCCAGCCTTGGCATTGCAGGAGGCAGAGGGGCAGGCGATCATTACGAGGTGCCAGGGTGCCTGTTCAACCCAGCCAGGGGAGTTTTGCATCTTTCTGGAAGGACAGGTTGGTCTGGTGGGTTGCCCAAAACACACTAGAGGCTGGAGAGAGCAGGACCTATGGGGGGGCGGCGGGGGAGACAGTAGGGTGGGTTAGAGATGAGGCTGGAGGGTGGGTGGCCCCAAATCGCCTGTGAGGCCTTTGGACCTTATTCTAGAGGCCGGGAGCCAGTGGAGGACTCTGAGCACGATTAATCTTATTTGCTTAGAAAGATCCCGCTGGCCTGAAGAAGAGGGAGGTGATCACCGAGAGCAGTGGTGTCTGCTGCAAGAAGCAAGGTGAGGGGGCAGTGGGAGCAGGAACAGAGAAAAGAGGACAGACTCCCAACAATAAAAGGAAAAATAGACTCCGAAGGCTGTGACCTTAACCACCTCCTTCAAAAAATGTAAGAAGAACTGATTTTTTTTTAAGCCTGTAAGTCAAGAGATCCATGCTCCCAGAAGACATCCTGCCTCCCTAAACTGAGCTCTGAGGGCACTGAAACCGCAGTGTTTGGTCTTTGGGAGTCGCCTTTCTGGGAACTCCTCTGAATGTGAGACAGCCCCACTAAGTATACTCTGTACTGAATCTCCTTTTTTTTTTTTTTTTTTGAGTTGGAGTCTCACTCTGTCGCCCAGACTGGAGTGCAGTGGCTGCTCCCGGCCACCACAGCCTCGACCTGCTGGGCTCTGGGGATCCTTCTGCCTCAGCCTTCCAAGTAGCTGGAACTACAGGGGCGCACTACCACGCCCGGCTAGTTTTTGATTTATTGTAGAGATGAGGTCTTGCTGCCCAGGCGGGTCTCGAACCCGCGGGCTCAGGCAATCCACTCACCTCGGCCTCCCAAAGTGCTGGGATTACAGACTGAGCCACCGAGTCCGGTCCTGAATCTCCTTTGAGGCAACATCTAGTGAGGCCTCAGCCATTTGTCCTTAAGAAGGACACGGGTTGGCTCCGTGGTGAGCGTGGATGACAAACAGCAGAAAGACTCGAGAAGTGTCCGGCTACACCGGGCCAGCTGTCCCCTAGAGGGCGCCCGAACTCTCCTTTTCAACGAGAAAGTGACAGCTGTCCGCCCCCAGAGTACATCTGACGGCAGCTTCAAGGCCTCTGTTTAGAACTTCTTCCAGAGACCCAGGACTCTCCAACACCCCCACATCGCTGAAGAAATATGGTCAGAACTCCTAGCGCAAGCTTGCCTGCTCCTCATATCAGTAAGCAAAAGGCTGTTCCAGAAGTGTTTCAGAAAGTGAGTCTGCCAAAAACATTAGCCAGATGACCATATGATGTGGGGCCAGCTTCCCTTTTCTTCAGGTAATAAGTCAGACAAAATCCAGCCTCATTATCAGCCTGGCTCTTGGCTAGGAAGTGTTCGATAATGCTTTAAAAAAAAATTTTTTTTTTTCCAGAGACAGTCTTGCTATGTTGTCCAGGCTGGACTTGAACTTCTAGCCTCAAGCAACTCTCCCACTTCAGCCTCCCAAGTAGCTGGGATCCCAGGCATGCAATATCCAGCCCAGCCATAATGCTTTCTTTGCTTTCCAATATTCAGTGAGTTACAGGTATAAAGAGATGCCTGCTTGCATAATAGATGTTTCTAAAGTCCCATGTGATTTAAATTTTTTTCTGTTAAATCAAATTAGTCTAGAGGCATTAAAGGATTTGCTAGTGAAGGAACCTGAACGTATTTATTCTGTGAAATAACAAAACCCAGTGTGGGTGTGCCTGTTCTGTCTGTATGCCACACAGATCCAGTCTCGCCCAGCCCCTAGGGAATGGCTTTCCAGACTCCTGGGTTTGGCCAGTGGAGGTACTGAACCAGGGTATTTCTTCCTCTCCCTCTGCTTCTGGTGGCCCCTCCAGCTGTGTCTGGGTCTCTTTTGAGGACAAGATTTCTAAGGTTCCAGCTTTCACTGAGTGACTTGTTCTTTCTTTTCACCCTGTGTTGCCTCACGGTCAAGAGCACAAGTGGCTTCCTATGCCTGCAGGCCTCTGGGTTGCCTCACTGTCTGCTGTTTGGATTGAGACCCCCTCTACCACCTCTGTGTGGTAACCCCTGGTTTGCAAATGCTTGCACTATGTTTCGGGTCCCACCTTCTCACATTCTTCTGCAGAGCCCCAAGAAAGGCCTAGGGAACTGTATGCAGTATTGGTATGATGGGTCATGTTTGGTGACTGTGTTCATGAACTCTGTCAAAGAGCAGTGTGGTCTGTGACAAGATATGAGGTTTTGACAGCACGTAAATCCGGGTTCAAATCTTGCCTAAGTCACGTGCTGTCTGTGTGACCTTGGGTAAGGTATTATCAATATCATCATCATTATTATTTAATACCAGGTGAATAATCTTCAATGCCCTTTAACACATGGGCAAACCAGACTCTGAGTGAAAGTTAGAAATCTATTCTGTGTCTAAACAGTTATATAAGGAGAAATGATTTTTTTTTTTTTGTCTGACTCATAGAGGAAAAAAATATGGCCTACCCAGGACTGCACTTCACACAATGCTCTATGCTTAGAAGCAGAATTTTAGACAGAATTTCAGTGAGTAAGTCTTCTCCAGATCTAGGCATATATCCACTTTCTACTCTTACCTTTATTTTAATATAAAGGCACAATTAAATTATAAAATTATCCCTGGTTCAAGTAATAAGAAAGCATCGTCTTTGAAAATATTGG